AGGTGTACCTAATAAAGTGGCAGGTGAGTGTATATATATATATATAAAGAATAAAGGTGTAGGTGATGCTTTAAGGAACACATGACATCCAGCAGAGTTTGTAGTCTGAGATGTTCTGTTGAGACTGATGGAGGTGTGTGAAATATCTCAGAGGTGGCAGCCATGTTGAACTGAACCACTTGCAGTGGCCATTCAGTGACCATTTCATTACCATCATGAGATATTTTACTAACAGACAAACAGATAATGAACATAGCTCGTGTGCACTATTGTAAGCCCTCAGGGTTAGGGCTGTGGATCACTCTCAGCTACTCCCACAGGTTTAAATGAATCTACATAAAAGTTGTGTTTAATAAGGTCACCCTGGATAATGATGGAGCAGATTTGCTCCGTGTGACAGCTGCATCAGCTCAGTCTGACCGTCCTCCCTGCGTGTGTGTGGGCAGCAGCAGAGAGGAGCTTTGTTCCTTTAAGGGTGGTGTCAGGAGGAAGAGGAGGAGGAGGAGGAGGAGGCAGTCTGCGCTCACACCGAGAATAAACACAGTCAGTCACAGACTGAACGCAGCCAGCTCAAGCACAGTCTCACTTTACTTTAGATTATTAAATCTAAAAAACGAAGGCCTGATTTGGACTTTTCCTCCGAGCTGCCTCCTTCATTCTGCTTCCTGTCGGCCGCGCGGACTGGATTTTCTGCTGCTGTCGAATAAAACGCTGCGCCTCTCCGGACGACGCAGGTAAGAGACTGTGTCAGAACACCCCGACAGAACACACCATCAGAACACACCGACAGAACACACCRWCAGAACACMCCATCAGAACACACCRWCAGAACACACCGACAGAACACACCATCAGAACACATCAGGCGTTAACACGAGCTGCTGCAGTCGCTCAGGACGTGTTTAGTGTCGGATCGTCTGATCGTGTCGCTGAGCTCAGATGGACGCAGCGCCTGATGGAGGAAGAGAAACAGCGGATAAATTCAGCGGGTCGGTCACCGCTACCTGTCTGTCTGATCCAGTACCTGTCTGTGTGTGTTTGTGTGTCTGTGTGTGTTTGTGTGTCTGTCCTCTCCGGTAGCTGTCAGATAATAACCTGAAACTAACATGTTGGCAGTGTTGCGTTACATCCATTTAGCCGCTGTTTGAACCCACCGTCCGTCAGAATGAAGCTAGCAGCGGAGCTACATGAGCTAATGATGAATCTGTCACCGGAAGTGTAGTTTATCATGAGATCAGCTGTAGTTTATCATGAGATCAGCTGTAGTTTAACATGAGATCAGCTGTAGTTTAACATGAGATCAGCTGTAGTTTATCATGAGATCAGCTGTAGTTTAACATGAGATCAGCTGTAGTTTAATATGAGATCAGCTGTAGTTTAACATGAGATCAGCTGTAGTTTAACATGAAATC